AAGTAGGGAAGAGACCCACTGGCTAGGTCTTCTACTCCTTCCATTCGTTGTGGTTTCGAGTATACATTTCTTTGTCATTTGGCTTATGTTACTTATTTATCTTCTGTTTTGAAACATGGTTACAAGGATCTCCCCACCAAGGGGTCAATCTTGCTCTGGAAGCTCTCTCTTGTGCTCTAGGGAGGAGGATCTCGCTCCTTGAGGTTTGGGATCTTGATCCTAGGAAGGATCAAGATCCTTATCTACACGGGATCCATATTCCTTTGCATCATATCTGAGCATTTATAGGTAAATTGAACCAGGGTACCACCATTGTGCGATCAAGATTCCCTTAGTATCAACTTTTCTGTCCCTCTTCCCTCTTTAATTGGTCACGAATTTGAGCCTTGAGCTTCAACTTAATGCTAGGTTAGCTACTTTGCATATTCTGTTAGAACTTTTTGAAGTGTTATATAATATGTTAGTTGCTGTTTTTTTCTCATAATTTCTGATGGTGGTAGACTACACTAGCCCTTTTAGGCTCTTTAACACATCACCATGAGCTTCAACTTAATACTTCTTATTTGACAAGAAGGATGATCATGATTGTTATTATAAAGTCATAAGCTGCATTAATTAACATATTATATAATGATTTGATTATCTTGATTTTTTATGAAGTTTCAATTTCGTGAAAATGTTGTATTACTTAATTACTATTGTAAATAGTAAATGAATTTTCGAATTCCAAATTCTATCAGAAATGTAGGAATCCTATCATTCTGCAAGGAATTAATATTTTGTTACTCCTCATGCGCATAGGTTACATTATTATATGGATTGTGCTCCTAACCTAGGAAACCCTAGTCAGGTACACTCGAGGACCTCGATTTTTAAGCTTGGATCTGTAGAACTTATCGTTTGATCCCCAGAAGTTGGAATCGAGCTCCCCAACATTTGGGATCTCAATCCCTAAATTTTGGGATGTACAGATAGCAATCCTGAATCTAGAGACCTTCTAGCCCTTCATGATCCCTCGTATCTGATCCAATCCCGGAACCGGTCCTGATCCAGACCCCAGTCAACCCAGTAGATATAAAAAACCTGTGAAACATAATTGTTGTCATCATTCTAGGATTGAGGAACTGAGGGCTTTGGAACAATGATACTGGGATCTGGTCCAATACATGGGTTTATAAAGTTAAAGACCTCACTAGATAGTGCATCATTCCTAGCAGGTTTACAAGGTTAAGACCTCACTAGATGGTAGCATCAGTCAGAGTAAGACTCGATTTGTAGCTAAGCAAGAGTATGATCTGAACAATAAGGAAAAATTGCACCAGTTGTCAAACTTACTACAACTCGTTTTGTTTATTAGTTGCAGCTGCGAGACATTGGGTTTTGCATCAAATAAATGCGAATGATGCTTTTCTTCACATATATGCAGCTTCCATCTAGTTATGTGCTCCTCCAAATTTAGTATTTTGGCTTAAAAAAACCATTTGTGGCCTAAAGTAGGCTCCTTGATCTTGGTTTGCTTATTTAGACTAGCCATTGCTCTTGGATGGGTTTACTCAGTGTTCTAGAGCTCCTCCCTTATATGTGAGCTATTTTGGTGGAAGGTAACAATGTCACTTTTCTATGTCGTGGCATTGTTCTCACGTGCAATGGATGATAAAACACTATTCTTACATGAGCCATATTTTATAACAACATTTTCCAATGTACAGGCAACTTTATCCTATCTTCTTGGTTTAGATATTTCGCAGGTTGACAAGGGATAATTGTTGCTTAGCACAAGTTTGGTGTGATCTTGTCTTCTGAGCAAAACTCATTCACTCTAAGATCGTAGATACTTTGTGGAGCTGAATGTTTGATTATCTGCATCTGTTTGTGACCATGTGATCCAATTCCATTTCGGGAATTAGATGGTGGACTAACAAAATATTTCATTGTAACAGGCCATGTATCAATATGCAGTTCGGTCTGTTGGCTAGTTCATGGAGTTTCCTAGCTCAGCTCATTTAGTTGTTGTTCATCATATCATTGACATATTCGGTCCACACTTGGTCGTAGTATCCTTTTCTCAGTGTCATCTGATCTTTGGCTTGTTGCATTTGCTTAGGCTGCGCCAGTTGTCCAGATGCTGCAGATTAGCTCCATAGTGTTGTATTTGTTTTGGTGATTCACTTCTTTTTTCTATTTTCTCCGCTTAGTAAAATCAGCTGAATTTGCAAGGAGAAATACAAAATTTGTTTCTTCTTGGTGGTTCACTTGCAAGGAGAATTACAAAATTTGGTTCAAGAAACAATTTATGTGTTCCAAATATATGGTAGAAGCTGACTATTGTGGTTATTTCTTTTGCCGCTGAGGAGATTCTCTGGATTCACACACGTCTCTCTAGTTTAGGTGTCTCTGCTTCCTCTAGCATGCCTCTCCATTAGGGTAATACCAATGTGATCACGCTTGCCACCAATCTTTTTTTTTGAGAATGTTAACCTTGAATTGAGTGAAAGGAATAGTACAACAACCTAGGCAGACCACAGAGTTGGGTGCTCTAGGGAAGGAGAGCCAAAAATAAAGACCAAAATCCTTCTAGAAGAAGGTTACAGTGCAAACAGCAACTAATAGAAGAAAGTGGTCCAAAATTCCCAGCTAGGGAAACATGTAGATTGCTAAAAGTTCTTCCGTAAAGCCGCTTCTTTTTCTGAGGCGTCTGCTTCCTGGTTGCCCTTCCTCCAGTTGTGCTTCCATGAGACATCCATATCCCCTGCACAGGTAATGAATGTCATCAAAGATGTGCGCTAGGGTCCAGGGTGGAGGTGAAGAGGGTATTCTTGGGCCTACAAAATAGTGTTCTGTGAGTCGCCCTCTATCACAATTGAGTGTGGGCTGAGGTAGCTTTAGTCCTTCCAAGAGGGCGTGGGCCTCAGCTGCCACCGAGTTGGCTGATGTAACTGGAAGACGAAGCTACCGTGTTGCCTAAATAGTATCTGACTATGGCTCCCACTCCCGAAGGACCTGGATTCCCGAGGGAGCATCCATCGAATTTCAGTTTGAAATGGTCTGGCGGTGGGGGAATCCAACAGGAAGCACGGGCTGGTCATTTGCAATTGTGTATTAGGACTGCGGACCAACCCTGAAAGAAAGCCGTGGTGGTGACTTCTTTGAAACTGTGGTGGTTTGTTGCCCAAAAGACAACTGTGGTTTTTAGCTTAGTAAAAATTTTGTTCCACGTGTAGTATTCACCCCTAAACACTCTATTGTTTCTCTCGATCCATAGAGCCCAGATGGTAGCCACCACCATGGATTTCCAAAGGAGAATTCCGGGTTTAAGCCAAGGAAAGGGCTGGACAGATGAGAGAACGGACAGAACATGCTCGGGTGTGACCCATAGAATGTCACTTGCCACCAATCTTGTATTTCATGATTGAGCTAAACATAATTAGGCTGGTTGTTACTTAATTCGTGTAAGATTTGCTCGCTGGTCTTCTTACTCTCTTGTATTCCAGCTGTTGACTTTTTTTACTGAAGCTCTTATTAATGGTGATGTGATTATATTCTGACCGCGATATGATTATCTTGTGAACAAACTGTTGTTCGTTTCTACAGATGCATCAGTTCTAGGGGAGGTGTGAATATGTCTATTGGTCTTGTATTTTAGTCTATGTAATTTGTTTAAATAGTTTGAGGGTAGTCTTGACATATTATTGTACATGGGTATTGGTATCCTTTGTCAACCCAAACCGGTATATATTTGTGATTAATTTGTAATTCTTATTAGGAAGAAGTTTGCCCAAGTTTCAATGATTCTAACACAACAAACCTCATGAGGGCCATCTTGGGAAGGGGAAATGCTTCCTTTTTTTTTTCTTCAACACCCCTGTGTATTTTGAATATATTGTCATGCATTGAAAGAGAATAAGACTACCTTGAGTAGAATTGTGAATTTGGTGTTGGAGCGCCTATAATCAACAATTTCATTAAAAGGATTTTGTGTGGATGGACTGAAATTTCTGTTCCCATATCCCATCTCCAATCTAGAAGTGCAAACCATAACATGTGCAAGCGCATCCCGAGTCCCCCCCCCCCAAATTTTGATCTCTAGGTTAATATTTTTACAAATTTTCCATCAATAGTTTGGCATCTTGTGATTCAAATTTTAACAGTTTTATGGGATTCTGTAACTTCCAATGCTTAGTGAACCTGTACAAAATTAGGAATGTGTAGCATGGAGGGGAAGTCAAATTTTCATATATAGTTCCTTACGAACTTCATTCAAATTTATTTTTTGATATTTAACGTAAATCGTATTTAATGTCGTCATGATTTTACTATCTATCAAACACATTATCCTGAAATTGTACTCGGCATAATTTAAATCTTCTCCCTCCCTTTTTTTGATCACAATGACTTTCATTACTTGCGTACTTTTTCGTTTAGGTTAAAGGTTTGGTTCTTAGTTACTGAGGCCTATGAAAGGTGGCTGCAAAATCTGGAACAAGAAAATGAAAGGTTGCATTTCTCTGTTAGGAGTTGCCTTTATGCTTTTGAAGTATCAGTCTCGAGGTAGAGCCTAGCTTTGCATCTCTTAGTAGATTTCGGGAGCTATTTTGTTAAAGTGATAGATGGCACTTCATGTGAGAAATCTTTTCCTTTTGTTTGTTAGAAAAAATTTGTGTGAAATTCTTTCTGATAGAAAAGGCATGGGCTATAATTTATTGGCACTTCAGTCATCTTATAAACAGAAACTAACAAGATGCCAACAATCTATGAGATTTTAAATGCAATATTGTGGAAAAAATATAAATTTCTGGTACTTGGTTCATTGGTTTCCTTAAACCTGTTCAGGTGCATCTGGTGTCTGAAAGCTAATGCTAACACTTTTCCATCAACATGTCATCACTTTTTGCTTCTAGAATAATGGTGTATTTGTTGTATGCATTCAGGTCATATTTACTCCCATCGTAAAGTTTTCTAACCTCAAGTTTCAATTGCCAATGAGTTTTTATGGAGTGCAGTTAAAGAGGTACTTTCAGAATTGAAGCCATTTTTATCAAAAGAAAAGCTTTTGGTGTCGATTGCTGCAGGAATTCGGTTGAATGATTTGCAGGTTTTTGTTTGCCAGCATTTGTTTTTCATTCGCCTATTTCTTAGAGATGTATTATTATTCATATTTTAGAAACTAGTGATATGAAATATACTTTCTTTTGGCAGAAATTGATTTTATATATGTGAATTTTGTTTTGCTATTCTGATTCTCTATTTTCCTCAACCAAATTTGTATTTGTTTTGCAAAAGAGGATGGCAAGAGATTGGGATTTGGAGATTTTTATTTTGTTCACGGAGGCGAATGCCATTCTCAGGAACATGGTGAAAGTGGATACAAAGACTAAAGCAAATTTTCAAGCCGAAAAACAAGGCAAAATGGACACCTTAAACGGGCCACTTGCTAAAAACCAAGCTAAGTGAATAAGTTACAATCTTTTTATATAACAATTACAACAATTTCTAGCCTTGTATAACCACTGTAAATAAACTTAAATACCAACCCCTTATAGGGCAATTACATATAAAGCAAGCCTAGCTTATGAATTATACTTTCATAGCACAAATTATATAACCTATGTCCCAAAGCTTAAATACATCATGCAACTAATCTAAACAAAATTCTAAAGAATAAAATCAACTAAACAGGGAATTAGAATGCCAAATTAAAATAGGGAAGCCATGTTTCTAACCCCTTGTGCCGGGGCCACGCAATCGGGCCCTATAAGGACTTAATTTTGTCCCTTCGGATTGTACAAAAGTGGTTCAATCTCACAAGAGTGTCTAATCCAAATAGGAAGAAATTACACACCTTAAAATCACTTCTTAAGATCTCAAAACACTGACATTATCATCTAAAACAGAATGAAAAATGTTTAAATTGAATCGGATAAAGAACAAGAGAGTGATGGCCAAACTACACATGGTGGTCCCTCGAACCACCAAAACAGTCTTGTATGGAAAGATTAGGAACCCCCATAGGTAAAAACATGATGAAAAAGTTCTGAAAATGGAGTGACACTCTGAGACTAAATTATTTGATGGGTTTGAAGCAAAGTAATTAATGGATATTATGCAGGATCATGGATTCTCATGCATATAGGCTATTACTCATGATCAAATGGGGATTCTAAGATCAATGAAACTTTTTTAAATTCAAAACTCCAGCAATTATAGATGTCAAGGATATGATCTTATGAAAAAAGAAAATTCAATGGAGTTTACCTTGATAAATGCATACTATGAACTTAAGCATAATAAAGGAGGACTACCATCAAGATCACCTAATGGAACTTTAAAAGCTCTCTATCTTCCATTTTCTCTCACAAAACCTTAGAAGGAGGGCAACACCTATTTTTCAAAATGGTTCAAGAGTTGAGATAGTTAGGGTTTGAGATCTCATGATGTGCTTTTATAATATGGGTGTAACTTTGGATTCAATTAACACCCTTGATGCACTAATCCAAAGGCACATGAGAGGCTAATGTACCTAGTCACCCATCCCCAACCAACCACTAGGATGAAGGGATGGGATTTCACACCATTATCACTCACCCTAACCTTAAGTTATGCCACTTTATCATTTTGTCCTTGGCCCATGTTTTTGTTCCAATTGTATCCAATATGGCCTTACAAAAATATCCTTAGTTTTTTTTAATAATGTATTAGAGTAGATAACCACAAAGGCTAAAGGGCAAAGAAGTAATTGGCAAAGCTCACACATGTGGAGATATTCTACTTTATCAAAGCCAATCACTTTGTAGATCTAAAATTTCGAACCAATCAATTTAAAGATAATGTCCCCTTCACACGAGTGTGAAGATACTTTTCAACTCAAATTTGAAAATGCAATTTCTCATTGATAGCAAATAAATAAATTAATTAAACTTCACACATGCCATGCATGACCCATGTGTGAGTTAATTAAGACATGTGATAGAAAGGGGGCTTTAATTTATAATAAAATATAACAATATATAACAAGGCACCATAACACAACCCCTTATAAAATAAGCAACCAAATGCCAATCTAGTCCCCCGCCTAAGGATCAGTGCCCAGCTGGGTGGTGATCCTAGAGTGAGGTGTGGGGTGCCATGTGGCAGCCCTATAGCCACTCAGATGCCACATGGTACTACCAGGTCAAGACTAAAGTGGAATGTGAGCTAAACAATATGAAAACCCTAATTTTTTTAGCAAATAAAATTCCAAAAAATTCGCTAAAATTCACAATAAATATTTAAAGTATTTTTGAGCAATTATTAGGTTTTTCTCATCATTATAAAATCGGACAAAAAGTATAGTGAGATCTCATGCTAATAACTATAGGTATCGGATTACTCCATTGGGCTAGTCCCGAATGATGTTCCACCGAGTCTCAGATCAACCCAATAGACCTATGTTCCACAGTCTAAAGCAGAGACACATAATTGGCCATATTAAAGCCGTTGAGTGGGAACATCCGATCATTCGGCTCTTAATGGATTACAGGTGTACCCCTGTGGGACATGATCCAACTCAATTATAGGGGTCCTCGCAAAGTACATGTGCACTGGCTCTACCAAACTCGGATAATGCATTTGGAAGAGTGGCTTCCCGTACGAAATGAAAATGCACATGCCATGCAATGATCTCGTGTGAGGATTCGGACTTATGTCCCATAAGTCTTGACCGTTCCATACAGGGCGAATACTCAATAACTACTCGAGTTCTATTTTTGTCATTTGGATTCTCCAAGTCCTAGCCGATTGCAGCTAAACATGAGGCTAACCTATAAAATTCTGACTAGGAGGTGACCCTCACACCTCCTTGAGAAATTGCTTTCTCAACAAATGAACTCTCGATGCCTCATACGTACTCGGGGTAAAAGAATCTAGTCTCTCAATAGCTCCCACTGAATGAGAGACTACTAGAATTTAGACCTTGATAGGCCATATTTCCAACACATGGCAGGATAAAACTTACGTAAAGGAACATTGTTGTTTCCTTAGTGCATATTTTCTTTCCTTAAAACCTTAATGTTTTGAAATACATGCCTTTACTACACTGACAATACAATGAAAAATGTATTGTAGCCATGGAAATACAAATCTCCAGTCAGGCACTTAGGCTCAAATTATAAAGTGCAATCAAGCAACATTGGATAAATCAGAAGATGCTAGAAGTTGGTATATTATAAAATAGTAGAAGTTATTATGAACAAAAAGAAAATTGACTTCCCTGTGGAAGCAATGGGATCACAAGGTAAATGAAAAATCTGACGTTGGTTATTATGATCTGATAATGGCCATCATGCACTGAACATAGGAACTGAGAGAAAATGAGCATCATTTAGTTGGTGTGAATATTGTATTTCTTGCCAACTAGTTATCTCAGGTTTTCATTCCTCTCATTTGTCCATGTTATCTAAGTTATGGTAGTGCTATATTTTTTTAAATATCAGTATGGTAGTGCTATATTCATAGACAATGTAGGATTTTAAGCATCTTGAATAAAAATTTCTTGGAAATATAATATAGAACTTGCATGATTATTGCTTGTGAGATGTAACCTCAAACCTATTCAGGGGAATCATATTCATGAATCATATGTTTTCGTGAATCAAGTGACACTTGATTCTCCACCAGAACCAGAAGTTCTTTTTTTGGTGGATTTCCCAACACACAGACATACGTCTGAATTTTAGTAACTCTTGTAACCTACACTTTTGGCAGTTCATTCTGTTGTGAACTTATTCTAGTATTTGTTTCCCGCCTGCAATGGAAGCATTGAGAAACAAAGTCTATGATGTCCCAATTCTGTGATATCATGGAGCAAATAACTGTGGAACACAAACTACTGTGAAGCATTAGTGTGTTTATCGAATGTCATGTATTTTCAACTTTTTAAGTTCTTTGTTTAATCATGTCAAAGTCAATCATCTGAGGACAGAAGAATATTATCTGCAGTGGCAGTTATCCATATTGGTGATTTGGATACACGAATGTTCATTTCCTCTGTCCCATTTTGTGCTGTGATAACCATGCTATTCTATTTTTATTGGCAAAGTCTTCAGTAAGTTTAAAGAGAAGTAGATTTATTCTTTCTCAAATTGTTTAGTTTATGCATCTTTGGGCTTTCCTTCCTTCGGGTCCTTGAGCATATTTGTCAATGGTTCAATTTCAATTTTTTTTCCTTTTCTTGTTATTTTTATTTTTTCAAATAATGCATTCTACGTCTTAATTATTCATATGCTCTTTTCCCTTCTTCTATGAGTGCTTGTTATGTAGCCTGTGTATGACTTTGGGTTTTTTCATGTAGGAATGGACTGGTCATGGGCGGCTAATTAGAGTAATGACTAATACTCCATCCCTAGTTGGCATGGCAGCATCAGGTATTGTTTTGCGTGATGAATAATCATATTTGTTTCCTTTATCTTTGCAATATTTGAATTTAAAATACTGTTTCAATAATAACAAATATCATCCTGTTCTTATGACCTGTCTCATGGGGTTAACTAGTCTGGCCAATTTATTAAGTCCATTAGTTGTCAATGAATTTTTTGTACAACCGATTCCTGTTTGGTAATAGTTTGACATGGTGTGATCAAAACTTCTATTGATTTTACATATAACCATTTAATTAGAGTGACTTGCATTCCTCATATTCTGAGTTATCTGATTAGGTAGTTGGGCATGGTTTCCCAACTAAATTCTTTCTAGTGGTCAAATTGTAGGTATTCTTTCTAGGGGCAAGTTTTATAACTCATGCTAAAACCCCTTGCTTTACTGCTTGCGAATAACATTTTGAAGATTTTCCTAACTTTTATCTCTCTGGAGTATGGGTCTTCTAACATAACTGGTGCTTATCTAGTTATATGCTTGGGTGAATTGGCAACAACTGAAGATGAGAAGTTTGTATCCAATTTGTTTGGAGCAGTTGGCAAGGCATGGACTGCTAAAGAAAAACTTCTTGATGCAGTCACTGGCTTAAGGTAAATTTCATATTCGTGAAAGTTTTTTTATAATGGCTGATATTTTGAGCTACCCTCCAGTTTATTTATTGCATATGTTATATGCATCATTTACTTCTTTTTGATCTTTTAGGAATGCTACTTTGAATGACAAGCCAATCAGACATTAACTAAAATAAGTTATAGATAATAACTTACTTTTATTTGATCCTATGTCCACTATTAGTAGCCTGACATTACTGTCCTAAATTTCCAGTGGTAGTGGTCCAGCATATGTATATCTGGCAATAGAAGCTATGGCTGATGGAGGAGTAGCAGCTGGCCTTCCTCGGGATCTAGCATTATGTCTGGCTTCTCAAACAGTAAGTGAAAATCGTTCTTTACTATGTCCCAGATAGGTTCTGAGTTCCTCCAGTAAGCAAATAAATGCGCAAGCTGGTAAAAAGAACAGAGTCGTCTATTAAAGTTGGGAACCATTTGATGATATATTTGATTTTATGGATCTTACTTGGATGGACCTACCTTATTTCATTATCCCAAATGCCCCTCCTCATTGATTAAATGATCGTAGAAAGGTGTTTCACACTTATTACATGGGAGATAAAATATTAGAAATAAGAATTTGGTCACGACATAAATGGAAATAATATGGGAAGAACAAGCTTCTGAGAACATTTCTTGAACATGAATATTATGTTCCAAGAGTTGCAGAAGCTCGAATATTGCCTATTCATGGTTCCCTTTGTTATGTCAATCATGGTTGCATCAAAATGTTAATGTACTGCTTTGGACTCAACCGTTCAACCATTCGTGATTCTAGCAGATTTTCTCCTAGGAAAACTGAGCATATTAGGAGCCATAATTGCATCAAACACTCAAAATTTTGGAATTTCGTTTTTCCCAATTGTTGACAAAAGTTGAAGCATTTCATACAGCAGCTTATAATGGTGTGTAGCCACAAAGCACATTTGTACATAATCTGCAATTCTTTGTGCAACCAGGGAAGCTTTATAAGCTTCCTCTAGTGGTTGTTGCACAAGTTTTTCAATGGTCTAAAACAAATGTGGTACTTGGGTTGCTAGACCAAGTGGGTCACGGGAAATATGTCAAATTGTTTCAAGCAAATGCCTTTTCTCTCTGTTTTCCATAGGAGCTATTGAGTCAACTGGCATGAATGGTAGCCAGTTTCTTAAAATTATATTGAATGTGCTTTTGCTATCTGCAGATATGAGGAAATTCATAAACAAAAATAGAAAAATGGAATTATGCTTCTAATATCATGGGCATTTCAGTGTCAATATAGAAACTATATTCAGAAAAATGCAAAGAAAGAAATCGTTGGAGTGAATTGGCCGTCAAATACTGCTTTTCTCAAATTATGTTGCAGTCTGCTATAATATTTGAGTTCGTTTTATCAGGTCCTTGGGGCAGCGGCCATGACCATTGAGTCTGGGAAGCATCCTGGTCAGCTCAAAGATGAGGTGACATCACCAGCAGGGACAACCATTGCAGGCATTCATGTGTTAGAGAAAAATGGGTTTCGTGGAACTATCATGGGTGCCGTCATGGCTGCATCCAAAAGAAGTGAAGAGCTTTCAAAACATGTCAGCTAGATCTTGCTATGCATTAAGGGTTTGAGTACATCAAGATCTTCTTGACTTTTATTTAAAGGAGACGATTGACTTATCCCTACATTTTGAGTCCTGTAGTTCATTACAGATAAAAGTTGTTTTTAGTACTCATTACTTAATCAATTTTGAGCTTTCATGTAAGCTTTCATGTAAATGTTATATACAAGTATGGTTTCTACTTAATTTTTTATTGGTATGTTGGCTGGGTTTGAATCCGCAGCCTCAAGGGTGCAGCATCATGCGACAGCTGGTTGAGCGGTGGGCTTTAACCAGCAGTCCAAAACTCGGCTAATTTGACTGGGACTTGGCCGAGTTACTTGTCCTCAGCGCCCTGCGGAGGTGAGCGCTGGTCGCAAACTCAAGTTTATTAAAAGGTCTTAGAAAATTAGAAACCTTTTGTTTACTCACTAATAAATGATGCATTTTCTATATAATTTCCATTGTTGCAAAAGATATTCTACTCCTTTTGGGAGTATACTGTCCATTTACACCCTTGGGTAAAACCCCACCTAGGAGTAGTTTTAGGACCACCAGAATTTGGGGATATAATTTTTTGAACACATAGAGCAACCTCAATAAATAAATAAAAATTCCTAACTGCACCCTTTAAGCACTTGAAAAAAAATATTTTCTCAAGATTGAATAGAAACTGTCAAATTTTTACAAGGGCGAGATCTTAGAAAATTCAAATTTCAATTTTGTTTTTTAAGAATAATCATCTAGTGATTCTAGGTGGTTATCAAAATTCCAGATTGAAGAAATCCTCCAAAAGTAGGTCATTTGATCGAGAGAGTAGAAGTAGACTCATAATAGGTCATTTGATAGAGGGAATAGAAGTAAACTCATAATAGGTCATTTGGTCGAGGGAGTAGAAGTAAACTCGTAATATACATGCTCTTTGGTTTTTTTTGTGATTAGTGAGTTTTTCTTATTATATACTCTATTTTTTTTGGATTTACTGAATTATTTCAAGTTATAAATCAATTTTTTTTTTTCATATTTCATCTTCCCTATACTTTTTTCTTTTTCTTTTTTTTATATAATTTTAATGCATTTTATAACTTCTCTCTCTCATTTCTTTTCTTTTCTTCTTTTTTTTCTCTTCTTTTTTCTTTTTTTTTTTTTTTTTTGTTAGCAATTTTGTGCTCATGCATGACTTGGTGAGGTCCACTCATGCTCACCCGAGTTATTCCGCTTTGGCTCGGGCCGAGACTCGAGCCGGAGGCGAGTAATTGAACATTTAAATCAACTCTTTACTGGATTTGCTGACATTTTAGTAGGGCTTGGCTTTCGGGTTCCCCTCTATGGGTCAGATTTTACGTCTCCAAGATAATGATTGCAAGAAAAAGTATTTTGACCCAATCGCAGGGCAGAATTATGTCCAATTGGCAGAGCTAATTGTAGGGCGGAACAGCGTCCACTGGAGTTCGGACAAGTTTCATTACTGTGAGAAATGGGTTTTCTGCACGTGTCTCCCTTTTTTTTTTTTTCAAAACAATATTCAAATCTTTTGATTAAGGAAAAAGTTTATATAAGGTTGCAACCTTATAATAGCTACGGATGCATCTAAAAAATCCAGTGAAAAAGGTAATTTTAATATTGAAAAACCCTTTGATTGATCATTTTGACATCGAGATGTATGACCATGAAAAATAAAAAGATTTTAAATCTCAAAAATAGTGCATTTTACGACATTATTTACAGTGTCCATTTTTAAGATTTTCATATGTTTATAGATCTAATTGATTTTAACTATTTTTTAAATTTAAAATTTTATAATTAAATATAAAAATAGACTTTGAGATAATCCTAAGAACATTTTACATCAAATTTATCTACCATGATAAAATTTGAAGGCGCATCTTACCTCTACAGCTACAGATGCATCTGTATGCCAACTAATCGATCAACAAATTACAACAAATTTATAACACTCCACGAACATCATCAGCACTGACTAACTCGGGAAGAGAAGCCCCCTTCTTAGCTAACTCATCTGTCAAAGCATTAGCTTCTCGATAGAAATGATAAAATGAGACTCTCAAGACTCCACCTAAATCTAGAATCTGCAACTAGTATTGCCTCATTGTCGAGGAACTGTTTGCTCTTTTTTCACCATAGTATGGTGTTTAATGAATCCCCTTCCACCATGCATAAAGGTGCTAACTGTTCATCCTTTAGAATCTTAAACCTTGCAACAATGCAGTCGTTTTAGCCCCATTAGCAAACATGATCCCACAAGCGCCCGCATAGCAAAAAATAACATTCCCACACCAATGTCTCACTATTCCTCCAATTAGGGGTGGCAAGGTATGGGTTATGTCCGTCTGCACCCGGACTCAAACTTGAACAGCATTTGGGTTTAGATTTTGTGCTGGGATCCAACTCAAAAAGTTGGACCCATACCTGTACCCGTCGGGTCTTGGGTGTAGTTGGGTCCATTGCCACCATCACTATGAGCTTCTTTTCTTTCTCTTTTTATTTGCCCTTTTTTACTATCATATACCCATATTGATTGGCAACAAGGTCACAATCACCCACCATTAGATTTCAAGTTGTTTGATTTGTCATTTAATAGCTAAATATGACTATGAGTTTTTTATTGTATACGATCCTTAATACACTAAAATGAGTAGGGTATTGGTCGGGTCTAACCGGACTCAAGCCAAGACCCGAATAGTGTTCAGGTCCAAGTTTTGGATCCGGACTCGACCTCACCGGATCCAAATGTTGAACCCATACCCAGACCCATGTTATGTATAACCGGCAGTTCCCATGTCGAGTCTGGGTCCATTGCCACCCCCACCTCCACCTCCAATACCCACTACTCCAGGATTACCCAAAGAATTGCCATCAAAGTTCAATTTATAACAATCGTGTATTGGTAGAGTCCATTTCACTTTCGGTCTACCCTTAACTTTCCCCATCTTGGACTAGTTTGGAAGATTAGCCAAAACATCAACTTCAAAAACCCCCCAAACCCTCTTTCAAAATCGATAACCAACTCCACATAAAGTGCTTAATATTGAACAAAACTCTCTCAAAAGGAAGCATGAGAACAACAGAAGTACTTGGATTTCTCTCCTTCCATATTTTCCACATCAAAACCCCTTTAAGAATCATCCAGAACTTATTCCCACCCTCATAAAGTCGAACTGCAAAAAATTGGGAAATTACACATCTTAAAGAGAAAGGCATAACCCATGCAAAACCCAATTGCTGAAAACACCATACCCATATTCTTGAGGCAAATGCACAATAGTGGAAGATGTACAGTCTCGACTCCCCATCAGTTTTCACATTAAGCATACATTTGGCAACACCTTTCCCCTTTTAATAAGATTATCAACTGTCAAAATCTTTTTCTATAATGCTAACCAAACAAAGGCTTGCACTTTGTGATGAATAGGTCATTTCCAAACTCTAAAAAAAACTTGATCTGACCATCTCCACCGATCATGACACCAACCTATAAACAGATTTCACATAAAACTGACCATCATTCTCCAATTCCCCTATAATTTCATCCTTCTCATAAGGTAAACTATATATTTCGTCCAACATAGACATCAAGGTCAGAACTTATTCACAATGATATCTGTTACCTTATTATAATGAAAGTTGACGTTCCAAACCACTTTTCCATCATTTAGAGTGAATAAATCAGCCACTTTAGAATGGGAATTGGACATCCAATTCAATAACTTAGGGAAAATAACTTTTAGGGAACCATCTCCAAGCCATTTGAAATGCAAATACTCTCCCCTCTACCAATCGCCCCTTCCCAATCCAGCATCTATATCTATCCAAACCATAATTCGCCACCAAAATTCTAAACTACAACTGATATCTAAGGAGTAGACTTCATCACCATCATTCACATAGTAAAGCAGTATTAACCAAAGTCACCCTCCTAATACAAAAGCCAGCCACAGTTTTTGGCATTTAAAAGATGAAACTTCCTTTTCTCTCCAAAAGAGCCCCACAAAAGATTGTGCATCATAGCTTCAATCTTCTTAGCAATCACACAAGACAATTGAAACAAAGATATTTGATAAATAGGAAGATTAGCCAAATATGATTTAATGAGAGTGATCCTTTCTCTCAAAGATCAGGATCCCATAACACCCAAAGGCCCCCCTTAGAACCCATAACATCCTCACCAACTAAATCAACAGACCTATTCCCTCAAGTATCCCCAGCTCCAAAAAGATTAGGTACAGGCATTTTAGTTTCCTAAAGAATCAAAACAACAGAGCTCAAGTTTTTCACCAAAAGCAAAACATCCATTATTCTCCTCTTATCCTCCAAACCCCTTATATTCCAACTAATAATGTTTAAATTCATCAAGGATGGGATGAAGAACCTGGACCTTTTGCACCTGGTCCAAACCAGCCATGGTCCACTGAATATAGGTCTGATGATGAAGAGCAGGAGAAGCTACTATCTTGAATAGTAATATGAACTAGATCCGCACCCATTATTATCCTCTCAACAATTGTGGCAGATGACCTCGATGGAGCTTTAGCAAACTTCAGTTTGCTTTTTCCTTTCACTCCTGAACTGGCTCGAAGTATCCCCTCTTTTTCTAATGAGTTTGCTTCTTTTGTTGAACTCTGTCTTGTTTTGTAGCCTTCACCCTCTCCCTTATTTATTGGTAAACAGTCATGATGGTAAAGTTAAGATCAAGGCCCATATCATCAAGCATATCCGAATAAACCTGCTCCTCATTCTCCTCACAATGATGCTCTGGATCCATCAAAAGTAAGTGCTTATATACTCCAGCCGGAATGATGTTTATGGGTGGTACAACCTCAGGTTCTACCACTGCCAAAGCACTCACCTGCACTTCATCAGCCATTTCTACATTCTCATGCTCAGACAGATCATCCTCTTGATGATTCTCCATTGACACGGTAAACTCCTCTTCATCCGAGTCAACAACAACAGTGGCCAAATGGTTTATCAGTACAGGAGGAGTAGCCCTGACCCTATCCTTCTTAGCTGATTGGCGGAAAGGAAGAAATCTCGACATTATACTATGAAGGATCGAGTATAGAAGTTTGCAAATAGAATCCTCTTCCAAAAGACCAGAACCAGCTGCCGAAAAACTAATAATCCTCTTCTTCACTCGCCTAAGGTCAAATAAATCTCCGTCTATCCGTTTTCTTTGAACTGGCCGGTATAC